GTAAATAATGGCTTTTGTATTTTTTATTAATTTTTGTTCTGGTCTTTTTTTTTTTCTCTTTTTTTTTATCGTTTTCAAAATGCAGTCGCAGTCATTAGCAAACACATATGTTTGCCTAATTTCCATGTGCTCTTTTATTTTTCACCGAAAAATATTTACATGCCATAATTTTGGATTGATTCTTTTTATAAACCTATTTTTTCTTATTCATACTGAGAAGATGGGCATCGCAGTCAAGATCCATCGCAGTCTCTCACTCGACTCAGGCAATTTCAAGGGTTAATGCGCTGGGGCGGGTACCTCGGGGGTTGGGTGGAAAAGCTGCCATATATTTAAACTATATTGATTTTGAAACAACTAAATGGATTACAAAAAATAATTAAATCAAATACCTAAACACTAATATGATACAATTTTTGCCATCACACACACTTTTTGACTGTGGTTTATGTGTTACTACTGTATTGCTATTCTATGGCATTTCTACTATTTATTATTGATGTACTTTCAGTATGAAGTAAATTGCACTCGGGGGAATTCTCGGGCGAAGCCAGGTCATTTTTTCTAGTGTTATATATATTGTAACAAAATGTTAATTTATAAACATATTATTAATATTAATGTTTATATAGATATCTACCACACTGCAAACTCCCTTAAATCCTCTCTGGTTTTTCATAAGGCTTTACTTTGTTTTGGAAACTTTGTTTTGGAAGACGTTTTCGAATTAAAGACATTCGAATTATCAAGTTTTACTGTATATATATTCACTGGTATGTATTCAAAGTGCCCGATTCTTATACATACACTAATGAACAAAAGGTGTATTGAGAATTGCTCTTAAAAAGAAAGATTGGTCAAAATATCAAAAGATACCAAGAAACTATTTAATCCAAAATATATATATGTAGTGAATTCCTGTTTTTCTTTATCTACAAGTACTTTTCGTACATCACGTGGATGATAAGTTTACAAAAGTTGAATCCCATAAAAAATGGACAAACAGCTTCTTTGAAATATTTATTTTTCACAAGAGATATATAAATACTTTGATAAATTCAATAAGGAATCTAGGACTAGGTTTCTTCTTTGAATGTTTTATTTCCCGAACTTTGGGGCTAACATGCTCTTCAACACAGAGACCTAGATGTGTACTTCATGCCTCCTAGGCATGTTATAATTGGCTAGAAGTATTACTTCACCCTTCCTAGACATGTTATAATGGGCTATAAGTAATACTTCATGCTTCCTAGGCATGTTATAATTGGCTAGAAGTAATACTTCATGCTTCCTAGGCATGTTATAATTGGCTAGAAGTAATACTTCATGCTTCCTAGGCATGTTATAATTGGCTAGAAGTAATACTTCATGCTTCCTAGGCATGTTATAATTGGCTAGAAGTAATACTTCATGCTTCCTAGGCATGTTATAATTGGCTAGAAGTACTACTTCACGCTTCCTAGGCATGTTATAATTGGCTAGAAGTAGTACTTCCCGCTTCCTAGGCCTGTTATAATTGGCTAGAAGTAGTAGTTCACGCTTCCTAGGCCTGTTATAATTGGCTAGAAGTAGTACTTCACGCTTCCTAGGCCTGTTATAATTGGCTAGAAGTACTACTTCACGCTTCCTAGGCATGTTATAATTGGCTAGAAGTACTACTTCACGCTTCCTAGGCATGTTATAATTGGCTAGAAGTACTACTTCACGCTTCCTAGGCATGTTATAATTGGCTAGAAGTACTACTTCACGCCTCTTAGGCATGTTATAATTGGCTAGAAGTACTACTTCACGCCTCTTAGGCATGTTATAATTGGCTAGAAGTACTACTTCACGCTTCCTAGGCATGTTATAATTGGCTAGAAGTACTACTTCACGCTTCCTAGGCATGTTATAATTGGCTAGAAGTACTACTTCACGCCTCTTAGGCATGTTATAATTGGCTAGAAGTACTACTTTACGCTTCCTAGGCATGTTATAATTGGCTAGAAGTACTACTTCACGCTTCCTAGGCATGTTATAATTGGCTAGAAGTACTACTTCACGCCTCTTAGGCATGTTATAATTGGCTAGAAGTACTACTTTACGCTTCCTAGGCATGTTATAATTGGCTAGAAGTACTACTTCACGCTTCCTAGGCATGTTATAATTGGCTAGAAGTACTACTTCACGCTTCCTAGGCATGTTATAATTAGCTAGAAGTACTACTTCACGCCTCTTAGGCATGTTATAATTGGCTAGAAGTACTACTTCACGCCTCTTAGGCATGTTATAATTGGCTAGAAGTACTACTTCACGCTTCCTAGGCATGTTATAATTGGCTAGAAGTACTACTTCACGCCTCTTAGGCATGTTATAATTGGCTAGAAGTACTACTTCACGCCTCTTAGGCATGTTATAATTGGCTAGAAGTATTACTTCACGCTTCCTAGGCATGTTATAATTGGCTAGAAGTATTACTTCACGCTTCCTAGGCATGTTATAATTGGCTAGAAGTATTACTTCACGCTTCCTAGGCATGTTATAATTGGCTAGAAGTATTACTTCACGCCTCCTAGGCATGTTATAATTGGCTAGAAGTATTACTTCACGCCTCCTAGGCATGTTATAATTGGCTAGAAGTATTACTTCACGCTTCCTAGGCATGTTATAATTGGCTAGAAGTATTACTTCACGCTTCCTAGGCATGTTATAATTGGCTGGAAGTATTACTTCTAAATCTCCGTGTTGAAGGGCATGTTAGCCTTGAAAGGTTGAGAAATAAACAATTGCAAAAAGAAACCGATCCCTAGATTCCTTATTTAATTTGCCAAAGTGTAAAAGCAGGGAATAATCTTTATAGAAATATTGTTGCATATTCCTCAAGTCGTTTAAACAATCTCCATTAGGTTCCATTGTCTCAGCTTTACTTATATAGTCCTGGGGTTTTCCCAGAGGTCTTTTTTTGTAGAGACATGGAGAAGGAAAGATGGGTGTTGTTGGTCTGAAGACCTGGAAGTACCACTCAGTGTGACTTTGCTTCTTTTGGTCTCCTGACATGGAGTGTAGCCACTCCTATGGAAAACAGATGCTACCAATTGATACCTTCCTACATTAGCCGGGTATAAACACAAGGTAATAAGACCAAATTCAAGAAAATAAGAAGAAAAAATTATTATCTTCTTCTTATCTGCTATCTTGTTTACACACTTGATAACAGTAACTATTTAAACCATGCTGTGGTAAAATTTCTCATTCAGTACTTTTGTCTGAAGATGGTAATAACGTTGTTACCGAAACGTCACACACTATTTATTTATTTGGATTTGGTCTTATTACCTTGTGTTTATAATCTTTAATCCAAATTGTGCATTATCATTAGCCGGGTACAGGGTGGCCCCTACCAGGAGTTAAACTCCCGACGTACTGTACTACCTGTTTACACCCTCCCGCTACTTGGCTGTAGGATAGGATATTAGGAGGGTATTTATAGATCTAAATACTATTAATCTTCAAGATATAGGTTTCAAATATTTAACGAAAAGAACAAGGTTTGTATATATTCAAACAAAGGCAGATTTCAGAACTAGTTAGTAGGTAAACAACAAAAAAAAAAACATGATTTATTTAGAACTCTCTATATAAGGGAAATTTTCAGCATCAACAAAAGCAACCTTGTAGAAGATGAGTTCAGCATGTGAAGCTGGCTTTGGCTGGATTGTGGCACACACCTGATCTATTGGCATGTTTTCTCCAATACACATGCGTTCTATCAGTTCATCATGGTAAAAATCGAAGTGATGTAGGTACTGGCTTCTGGTTTCTGGGTCCTCAGTGTTTAGAATTTGGTCGAAGCATTCCCAATTTCTTTCCCACACGCTGAACACAAATTGAAATATTAATACTGAGCTAGCTAAAATACATAGGATATATATGTTGTTTATAATAAAATATAATGCGGCTTATGATTGTAAAACGACATTTGAAATTATCCCGCATATGTTTCTTTTAAACGAAAAATCGAAATTAATTTTAAGGAGAAATAACGACACCATCAAGGGTCACAACTTGACACCCTAATCTGATTGAGTGGAGATAAGAAAGAAGAAGAAGACTATCTACTTCTTTGATATTTTCTCTGAATTAAAAACAAAAAAGAAAATTTAAAATGAAATTTAATTAAAAATAGCTACAAGGTAATAAGACACCTAATCCAAAATAAATTAATAGTGTGTGACATATCAGTAACAACATTGTTACCATAATCAGACAAAAGACTAAATATTTTTCCGTTTATCATTACTCTTCACAATTCATCCTTTCATACTTCATCCCTAAGGTTAGAAATAGTCTTTATTTCTCCTTAAAATTAATTTCGATTTTTCGTTCAAAAGAAACACATGAGGGATAATGTCAAATGTCGTTTACATATATATATTGTATTGTAGTTTTATTCAGTAGGATGACTGTAGTGTGGCATGTTAGTTGCAGTCGTGGTGGCCATAATGTTCACAGTGGTTTCAGATGTGATTGGGATTACACAAAAGAACAAGGCATATTGGATGTCACTACAGAGATGGCGAGAGAGTAAGTGTAGCCGACACCGATCAAGGCAGGTCTCTCCAGTGGGGTCTGTCAATCATCGTGTCTCAAAGCGGACTGATCTGTTTTGAGCAAGAAGGGAGCACACCTGGTACCCCGACATGTTTTTCGGAGACCTTCCTCATGACTGTCGCTGGCTGTCACTCAATCGAAATTTTATTCTGTTGTTTTGGTAATACATGATGGCTGAACTGACCAGTTGAATTTTGTTGTTACAGTTTTGGGTATTATACTATAGCTATACAATAGAATATAATGAGGCTTATGATTGTAAAACGACATTTGAAATACTATCCCGCATGGGTTTCTTTTCAACGAAAAACCAAAATTCACTTCAAGGAGAAATAACGATTATTTCTAAACTTTTAGATGCGGTATGAAAGGGTGAATTGTGAAGAGTAATGATAAACGGAAAATAAAAGTGCCCAGGGATGGGAAACGAATCCACAGTGTTCCGCTTACCGGGCAGATGCCATGTCCACTAGGCTACTTGACTCCCTGGGCACTTTTATTTTTCCGTTTATCATTACTCTTCACAATTCACCCTTTCATACCTCATCCAAAAGGTTAGAAATAATCGTTATTTCTCCTTGAAGTGAATTTTGGTTTTTCGTTGAAAAGAAACACATGCGGGATAGTATTTCAAATGTCGTTTTACATACTATAGCTATATTACATTTGGGGATATATTACAACATATATGTATATTAACATAATGAAACATATAAAATTTATTCTTATGAGATTTCAATTCATTCTAAATACAGCAGAACTTGGATAATTCGAAAGCGTCTTCAATTCCAATATTTATCTTGTTCCCTAGAATTTCTTATAAATAGAATTTCCGTTTTTATTCGAATTTTTGGATAATTCGAATCTTTTTTGGTCCCTTGAGCTTCGAATTATCAAGTTTGACTGTATATGTTAATTGTGCTATCGTGAGTTAGAAGATATTCATCTTGAAAAAATGCTAGTTTATCGAATTTAATGAAATATATACATAACATAGAGAGAGAGAGAGAGAGAGAGAAAGAGATAATTGCCAATTAACATATTATTTTATTGGCATCTTGTCAATGCAGGGTCAAAGTGCACAATCCTCACTAATTACTGATTGATAATGAAGAAATTTACTATGATGATATATTGATTGTATTAAAAATAATTGGATACATGTATGTTATGATGCATTAGCGCGTCATCTGTTATGAAAATTCGAAACTATTATCGACGCGTATGATTCTTTGCAGTAAGGGCAGTAGAAATTATTCAATTTTTAAAAGAAACAAACACGTCTAAAATAATTATGAAAAAGGCATCTCCTTATCGTGCAACTGAAAGTTGCTGAAGTTGCACGATAAGGAGATGCCTTTTTCATAATTTATGCACCTTATCCCAGTACAATATCACATTTGTACTATTTTTTCACACGTCTATAATAGTTTCGAATTTTCATACATGTATGCACAGAAAATGTGTACATTGTGCTTCTGCTACTGCTGTAGTTTAATGGAAGATCAACAGCAGGCCATCAGCGATACCACGCATTTCACCATCTACGAAGAATACGTAGATCTCGTGCTTCATCGTCTTTGATAGTAGCAATGGCTTGTGCGTAGAGCAGGTAGAGCCATTTAGAGCCTGAAGAGCGGAGGTAGGTTGACGGAGAGCTGTTGTGAAGTCAGTGGATGTGCTTACAGCGGTGACTTGTTCTTTAAGGCCAAGGGGCCAACTCGTCAGTAACGCATGCGATGTTCCAGAAGGAAATCTTTCCAGAACGGCGTACACTTCAGCACGAGGGCTGATAGTTGGCAATGAAGTCGACCTAGAGGAAGCACGCTGACGATTCTGTATTCCGTTCTCGATAAAGATATGAGACTATAACCGATTAGACCACTGTTCGCTTTAGAGACGAGGCGGATGATTTTTGTTTTCAAAGATTTCAGCAGTACCCCGCGAAGATTGGATTTGACGAGGACTCAATGGATGGCCCCTCCAAAGAAGTTATCGATCCCTTGAGCTCGCAGGGCACACTCAACTAGCCGCTTACACCTGTGTCAGATGGTAGCTTTCATCTTACTCAAGGAGATATCTGCTCGATAAATCAGGTCACTTTCCTTTAGGGTGATTCTCTCCGTAGTTCCTTCAGGAACCCAGGAAGGCCTCAGGGATGCAGTCAGAGGAGCTGTCGAAGCGTCCTCATTTGAATCCGTTGATGGAATATTTATTATTATGAAAAACAAACGTCAATACAGTTGAGCCTCCCTTTAGCAGACACCCCACTAGCGTTCACTTCTCCACAAAGGACAGTTTCATTGTCAAAATTACCATTTTTACAACTTAGCAACTCTCGGGTAAGAGGACACCTCTCCCTAAAGGACACTTTGGCTCTGCAATTAGGTGTCCTTTACAGGGAGGTTCTACTGTATATATATATAGTGATATGGATATTCATTATAGTACTAAATAATAATTATAATAATTAATAGTTAAAATAATAAAGGCTGGTTAAACATTCGTTTAGTCAATGCCTACGTTAAGTTTATTCAATAAAAATATGTCCATGTTGAGATCACAAAATTGTTTGTTTTTTCAGAATCTGAATTGAAGGCATTTTGAAAGGCAAATTATAAAATCAAATATGGGGTCCCTAATGTTACAAAATTATAGTGGAGAGTTACAGGATTAGATCTTACCAGCAAACTCGTGGTTTCCACATATCAGAACTTTCCTTCTTCAATTGATGCACTCCCAAATTGACCACTTCGAAGCAATCCCGAAAGATCTTCTCATCCATAATAGCAGATTTTTCTCTTTGAATTGACTCTGTAAAACACATCATTTGTAATATATCAATTATTTATTCATATTATGATGTATTAGCGCGCCATCTGTTATCAAAATTCGAAACTATTATAGACGCGTATGATTATTTTTAAAAACAAACAATTTCTACTGTCCTACTGCAAATGGAAAAATTAATTGGAGGGCCTGGTTCATCAGTGATGAAACTGTCGAAACAGCTAGGAGGGTTAACCACTGATGAGTCAGGCCATCCCGTTAATTTTTCAATTGCAGTAAAGGCAGTAGAAATTGTTTATTTTTAAAAAGAATCATACGCGTCTATAATAGTTTCGAATTTTGATTTATTCATATGGCATTAATCAATTTTGAGATATGGCTATATATACATATATATATATATAATCTTATTCTTTATTATATATTATATCTTAAATTCTTAATTCGACGCCTTAGATCATATAGATGTTGCTTTTTATTTGTTCCAAAATAATAATAAATGATAACCACAAAAAGGATAATATTTGATGCAATAATCTTAGCCCCGCAAAAATATGTTTGGAGATCCCTGACAAATAAACTACATACTAATAATGAGGTCGATCCCAAAACAAGAAGCCGACTCAATTATTTTTTAACTTTGAAAGGGAGAAAATTGCTTTAAAGTTAAAAAGGTGAAAATTTAGACGATAGCAATGCGTTTCTTTATTTATATATAGAAACGCATTGCTATCGTCTACATTTTTACCTTTTTAACTTTTACAATGCACTAGCGCGCCATCTGTTATCAAATTACAAACCTATTCTAGACGCGTAATATTCTTTTTAAAATAAAACAATTTATACTGCCCTTACTGCAATGGAAAAATTAAAGGGAGGGCCTGGCTCATCAGTGGTGAACCCTCCCAGCGGTTTCGCCAGTTTAATCTACCATACCGCTGTTATATTGCATTTTTGGAACTTCCTTTTATAGTGATGCTTGACTCTTCGAATGGGTATTTTAGATTAACTATGGACATAAGCTTTTAGGACAGCAGAATTACATATAATTATAAATATATAATATGCTTCGTGCAATCGCTCTTCTGCATATATCAAATTGTGTCTTTTATTCAAACATTTATTTTACAATGCACTAGCATGCCATCTGTTATCAAATTACAAACCTATTCTAGACGCGTAATATTCTTTTTAAAATAAAACAATTTCTACTGCCCTTATTGCAATGAAAAAATTAAAGGGAGGGCCTGGTTCATCAGTGGTGAAACCTCCCAGCGGTTTCGCCAGTTTAATCTACTTTTTAACTTTATTAATAATCAAGAGATAATATTGTTATAAAAATTTAACTTTAATTTTATCTTAATCGTAAATTGTAATTGTTTTTCGAAAAATTTCTAAGCATCATAATCTTAAATTCCACTTACCTAATGTTGCTCAAAATAAGCATCGGGCTCAATTTCTCTTTAAAAAAATCAAGATATTTTAAGAAAAGATTGAGAAAGTCAAATCGATGAAGAAAATTCACGAGAGATATAAATGATTTGGTGTGTGAATAGGATTATTCGAAGCTGTTTGTATATTGACCTGACAAAACTGTGATGTGCTATTTGTACAAAAGGTTGAACTCTCCTAATAGTTTTGCGTCTTTTCAATAATCGTATAAATGATTATTTAATACTTTAAAATTATCTCGAAAGAGATAGGAGAAATATGATGTATAATAAAGAAAATAAAATATATACAGTAGAACCTCCCTGTAAAGGACACCTAGTTTGCAGAGAAAAATTGTCCTTTAGGAAGAGGTGTCCTCTTATCGGAGAGTTGATAAATAGTAAAAATAGTGATTTTTCAAATGAAAACTGTCCTTTGTAGAGAGATACAGAGAGAATCACCCTAGAGGAAAGCGACCTGCTTCATCGAGCAGATATCTCCTTGAGTAAAATGAAAGCTTCCATCAGTCATCTGCCACAGGGGTAAGCGGCTGGTTGAGTGTTCCCTGTGAGCTCAAGGGATCGAGAACTTCTTTGGATGGGCCATGCATTGAGTCCTCGTCAAATCCAAGCTTCGTGAGTGTCCTCTCATTGAGGTTCTACTATATATATATAAAGGCAGATAATTTTTTATTCTTTATAGAATCTAATAAATTGTTGGGTACTCACTTTCAATCACTGAATCATTATTACACAATTGTTCAAGAAGAGTCAGAAAAAATTGAGTAAATTCTGGAAGTCCATCTTTGATTTCATCAGCAATACATTCTTGAAGTTCAGCAACAACACTTTTAGCAGCTTCGATTCTATTCCTGTACAAACATAATTACACCTGATGTAAAATAAAGAACTTGGCAATAAGAGTAAAAGATAACATACTGGCAATGTTCCATAATATCTTCCTTGGTCTTGTCTATCGCCCAATCACCATTGGGAAGGAAGTTGGCCCAACCCGTTACACCATTTTTGAGAGATTCTTTGTCACAATTGGAGAAATAGGCATCCAGCTCTTGACTCGTAAATGCATGAACAGAACTCGAGCCTGTTACACAACACACATGTGATGTTTTTATCCAACAATATGATCAAAATGTTGAAGAGATAATACCAGAAGTGAGACCCTATTGATTTGAAAAAAAAAATTGATACATTTTATTTTTCACAAATGGTAGTTGGATGCGGAAAGCAGGTTAGAGAAGTAAAACATTTTGA